CCTAGCACGCAACGTTCTGCGACTCTAAAGAAACGCCGGCAGAGAATGGCTTTACCGATCAGGAAACGGTTGCAAATTAATATCGGATATCGTATCGGCCCAAAAATTTCATATCGGTTCATCACTAGTAAAAATATATATTTTAAGAAATCAATAACTTTATTTTTCAAGCAGCCGTAAAAAAACAAACTTGTTCTTAATAAAACTGCAGAAATAACCATGAAAATCTAAAATCTGGAGCCATTTTCAGACGGCAGCATCTGCTCTCGTCTGCTTGGACCAGCCGTTAGCTACGAAGTTATCCAAGATTATAACATTTAGATAGAAACACTTCAATAAAGGCCTAAATATCCTTTAAATAGAAACAATCCAGTGGATCTGAAATGAGCTTCATCTAAAGAACTGTAGAAGAACCGAACCGAACCAAGAGCTAAACGTAGCCCTCGGCTAACACCTGAAGGTGTCATGGTGGACAGCCCAGCATTTGGACAGCACTTCGGCCATGACAGACACAGCATATGGATTCCTAACACGCTGCAGTGTGGTTCTCCAAATTCCTCTGAGGATAATGAATGCCAAGCCCCCACACCCCCGCCCACTCCAACAAGTCCTGGTCACAGACTCTGATGAAAACCCAAAGCTCTCATCAGCAACAGCAGCGGGACTCGGCTCCCACTTCACCAGCAGAGGGGGTTCCTCTTAAAGCTGCTTTGGTTTTTATTCTAATGATTAAAGATCATCACAAGAGCTGAGTCGAGAGCAGATCTAAGCTAATATTATCTCTGGTGACCAGATTTGTAACCTGTCAACAACCCGGACTAGGCCCAGTTCACGGCAGGACTTTAGTATCAGAAGATTTTCAAATCATGAGAAACAAAACATGGTAATAAAAAAAACCTCTTGGTTCTACAGTCCGTGGTGGCAAAAGCTACACATAAACCCCGTTTATAAACCAACATTCCCCGGTCTGATGAGGAATCTCGCAAAATCTCCCTGAATCAAACGTAACTTCAGAGTAAACGATCATGTGGTGGAGGAGGAGACAGCACAGTTCCATCGCCCTGCTGTCTGGTTGGTTGGTTGAGCTCTGTATCAGACCGAGATGTTTCATAACGCTGGAGCAGTTCCAGACACTCTCAACACTCCACACACGTCAGGAGTGTGAGATAAAGTTATCTTTAGAGCTGTTGTGGTCATCTGGTGCGTCCTTAAAGGTCTCCTTCCCACAGAATCCATATAATACTGGTGCATTTTAAATATGATTAGTCAAAATTGTCTTTTACTCTGAACTCATTCGCTGCCAGCCGTTTCCTGATAGCTAAAGGGCTTCGCCGCCAGCGTTTCTCACCGTTTTTACTGTTTTTTTAAGAGTCACAAAACGTTGCGCGCTAGGATGATGTCGTTGCCAAAACAACCAAAACAAAGAGGAGACTCACCTCTTACATCAGGACGATTCCGCGCGTTTCGAGCTTTATTCGTTCTTTCATAAATTTGTTGTTGAATTGTGATCGGCAGAAGCTTTTCCGGTTTGCGCCTCACCGTTGTAGCGTCATGAATGTCCTGTTTTTGACCTAAAGGTCATGATCTGCTGCGTCTGCTCGAGCAGAGGCATAAAGTCTCTGACAGGCTAATCTACATGAGATAGTGGCCAAGGTCTTTCATGCACTCTGCTCATCTGAACTGCTTCACCTTTGTTACCAAGCAAAGACAGGAACTATTCTGATAAACACATAATCAACAACTTTGTTAATTACCAATAATAATGTGAGCACAATGTTCAATCAGTCTGTGAAATGACAATGTTATTACTTGATATTATAATCCTGTGATCAGTAGTATTTTACAAGTTATTATAATCCTGGACATTTGCACTAGACACTGATGACACGTAATGCTGAAGTCACACGACACATTTCCGTTTGTCTGATCCAATCAGAACCTTCGTTTCTGGCTAGGCGTGGTTATCTGTGGTGTTTGTAGAAACCCTCTTTTGCATGTCGAGTTCTGATTCGCCAGTAAACCAAAATATGACAGTTATAAAAACTATCCCACGCCACCTTTTCTTTAGTTCAAAGCGTTCTAGAGAAGTCTTGGACCGGCCATCTGGACTTCCTCTTCAGCTTATAGAACCTCAAAAAGCTGGATAAAATCTGTTGCAAGTTACACCTGACCGCAACGGTTCCTTCAGAATAAAAGCTGAACCTCACGACCCCTTCAGGGGTAAGGAACCCAGAGCCAGAGCCACACGCTTCCTGTCAGACCTGCCATGGCTTGTAAAGGTATGTACATTTCTACTTTTACCTGGAGTGACTGAGAAGTGAAACAACGCAGAAGCTGCTGGAACACAAAGCTTCTGGTCTATGTGAAGAATCATGAACAGCAACAACACATTCTGATGATACTTTTCTTATCAGGATGGTGCAAACACCTGTGCCTGGAACAACAGATATCTGTAGCCGAAATCTGATTTCTAACATCCAGGAGGAATGACGACAGAAAAGATTCATCATCTGTGGGGCGGCGGTAGCACAGGAGTGCTCACCCAATAATCGGCCTGTCAGATGGGAGTTTCTCAGTCTATCTTGGGGAGTACTCTTCCACCATTTTCACTGTTGGTTTTGGGGTTCCTCAAGGGTCTGTACTTGGTCCATTTTCATTATACCTGCTTGCACCCCTTTTTCACTGTTTTGCTAACGATGTTCTGTTCAGACTGGTAAATGGTCTGTATTTGATATGGCACCTTAGGTCCTAGAACTCCCCAAGGCGCATTACCACACACACACACACACACACACACACACACACACGAGCTACAATGTTGCCACAGCTGCCCTGGGGCACAAAGAGAGGCGACGCAGCTAAGCACCGTTTCCACCAGTCTCCCCAACCACCACCAGCAGGCAAGGTGGCTTAAGTGTCTTGCTCAAGGTCACAACAGCAGCATTCTCTGCCAGGAGCCTGGACTGATCCTACAACCCTTCGATTACCGGACAACCCACTCCACCTCCCGATGTACTGCTGCACCAAGGTGAACTGCATCAGAGATTACCATGTACTGCCCAGTCCGACCATAAAGAATAGAACAGCCTTTATTGTTGTTGTATGGAGTGCCACTCCCTTTGGTGCAAAACGCTACAGAATATAAAAAAATTAATAAAATAATAATATAAATGTAAAATAAACAGTAATATGTACAAATACCTACAAAGCAGCAGCATTTATATTTTAGCAGCATCCGTTGCGTTCTGTGCAGGTCACCATTGTAAGCAGAATTTTAGCATATTGGGTGAACTCAATTAGCACATATAATCGTTATTGCACCTGATCAATATCGATCAGTATATGTGAGGTTCGGGTTACCAGGTTCATCTGTGTTTGTGGTCGTTTACTACAGTGAGAGCTCCGGGAAAGAAGCTATTCCTGAATCTGAATCTTGGTCATATTGGTGGTAATCTTGGGTCTGAGTTTTGATCCTCCCTTAATTGTTGGGATGATTTTCTTACAACTCCCACTCCTAGGTAAAGTTAAGCCCAGAGACAGTAATTCAGGTCTTAATCACATCTCACCTGGATTACTGTAAATCATTAGGTCTCTAGCACCACAGTGACAAGCTCCATCTATCTTCTGTCTTGGGTAGCAGAGATCCAGACGGGAAGCCCAAACATCCCACTCCCAGCTCCCTGTGGGGGATCCTCAGGCCAGAGAGAAGATACAATCCCTCCAGCAAGTTCTGGATCTTCCCAGAAGTCCTATCTCAGTGGGATAGGCATAGGAATCCTCTCGACGGACTCCTTGTGATGTGCAGAAGCAGCAGTTCCTACATCTAGAGCTAAACCTGGACACCCAGCTGCTTGGATCTGGATTCCTTTGTGCTTCTTTTATTCTATGAAATTGTTTTTCTTTTGCAATCTTTTCAAACAGATGGAATTTTATGTGTGCTATAAAAATAAACGTAGCTGATTTTTTAAAATAGCTCATTTCACAACAACGACAACAACGTTTTGCTGAAACTCAAACACTGAGTTTCAACTTGTTTCAGGAATTAATTGTGGATTTTAATTTCCTTTGATTGCTGCAAAAATTTGCATTTTTCCCATTTCACATAAACAATTAGAACAGGGGAGAATGAGTTGGACAAACAACTGGAAAGACGTTGCAGGTATTTCCTCATCACAGGTAAATAATTACAGTTTCCTGGCGTGGGCAGCTGTCAAGTTTCGTCTGAAGTTTTATTGGTTTTCCTGCTTTTGCCTGGGGGAGGTGTGATAAATACAACAGAGCTGGAGCGCTTTAACCTTTAGAATAAGTCATGGTAAATAATAAACAGCGGCCCTAAAAGCCAAAACAAGCACCACTAACAGGTTTTATTGTTTGAGAATCTCAGCCTGGTTCCTCCCAGTTTTCACCCTGAACGCTTCGGTCTCTTCCGACCGAGCTGCGTGGCTCTTTCTGTCACACAAACCTGATCTTTGCAACCTTTAACCGCATCGTGTCAGCCCAAAAGAAGAGAAAAGGAAAACGCACCAGAACCAGATCATACTAATTTGTCCGACTATGGAACCAGAGCAGAGAAAATTGGGTGACGGCAGTGATTTGGGGTAAAAACGTTAAAAAAAGCTCCCACAACGTAAATTACAAACGCCAATCAGACAACAATCTAGCGGCTTTTTTATTTATTTGTGTTTACGCTGTTGTTTCGTTAAACCCAAGCGTACAACAGAGATAATTAAACTAGCTCAGCGATAATGGCTCTTATGACGTTACATTGAACTAGCTGCTAGCGCTAACACTCCGCCAGGTTGAACGTTAGCTCGGAACAACGATGCCCGGTTCCGTTACCCTTTACATGTGTTAAAGAACAGAACCCGGAGCCCGAAAAGTGCCATAAACCCCACAAAAGACGTTCTCTGGTCCGGTGTGCTCTCCTGAACCTCCCCCTGGTAAACCACTGCAGCTGCAGCAAGAGACAAAATCATTCACTGCGCTTGTGAACAACTCACCCAAAGATGGGACCGAGTCGAGCAGAGGTGTTGCTGCGGATCAGCGCTGAAGGCCCATCGGGAGGTCTCCGCGGGTTTGGGACATCCAGCCTTGTGGTGGTGATATCGGACAATCCAAAACGTGGCTTTGCTTTGACGCTTGTCTGTTCTCAGGCTGCATATGTGTGTCTGTTTGCGTCTGGAAGGCCTGCTGCTGGAAGGAAATGGTCTCCGCTGAAGCTACGGGAGGCGCATGCGCACAGGAACGGTGGAGTCAATGGGTGTGGCTCGTGAGCGCCCTCTTGTGGCCAAGAGCATATACTGCGATTTGAAAGAGTAGCAAGAGGGTCTGCAAGCTGTGGCTCTGGAGCCACAAGTGGCACTCTCAATACCTTTGGCAAAAAAAAAAATTACATTTAAATATAGATGCAGGTTAAAACAGTTTTTCATGGGATAACTGCAGCGAACGACACTAAAAGTACCAGTAATATATTTTTAGATCCATTCATGTCTTGAACAATTTCCTGCCAATAACATTGTCTAGAAAAAAGTATTCAGATTCTTTTTGCAAAAGTTTTATTTGATTTATTTTTAATTTAAAAACCTAACAATAGAAACAAAATGTATTTCCATAAATGACAACAAATCTAGTATCGATTTATGGTGATTTTCCATCACCTGTCCATTAATAATCCAGGGATCCCCAATCACAAGTGTATCATCATGACAACAACTTTCACCAGCACAAATCTGCAGGTCGTGGGAAGGGTCTGTTCTTCATGCAGGTTGGATGTTTTTTGTGTTGATAGACCCTGGTGATTTTTTTTTTCATAGCTCTTTTGTCTAATCAGTTTTAACTTTTTGCTCTACTAACTGGCACAGTAACCAGTAAAATAATAGGGTGCAAGTGCACCTTGTCAGATATCTGGCATAGACAACTAGTTAGGAAGGAGGAGTTTGCCCTCCTCCCTTAAAGTGACAATGTGTAGTTTTTACCATTAACCTCTGAAAATATCCAATGAAATGTTGTAGTAAATTACTTAAAAGATGCCCAGTTGTTGGAAAATATTGGCAGTTTCATAACATATAACCATAAAAATCTGTTCTAAAATACATGGAGCGGGTCCAAGTCTCTGGACAACTCCATATTAGATGCCATGTTTCGTTCTACGGAAGTCTGTGAGGACAAAATGCATTTACTGATTTGTAACAAATGGTTACAAAGCTTTAACCATTAATAAACATTGTAGCATTACACTTTTACCTCTTCACTCATTGCCAGTGATGAAAGGGAATCTCTCTTTTTCTTGCTATTTTGCTGGAGGTTGCACTCCCAGGATTTTTGACCTTAATGGCCATCCGTTGGTAAGGTCTTATTTGAACACAAAAATAATGTGCGACTGCAGTGATTTAGGTATGTACTGCCCCCTATCGCCAGGGAAAATACACAAGTCACTTCAAGGGAAGAGGTACAAGCTGCCATTTAACATTAGACGCAAACATCCACTTGTCCCTTAAAATCTTCACATCAGTAAGAATTCTGGTTGTAAACGGTAATGGACTGTATTTGATATAGCACCTTCTAGAGTCCTGGAACCCCCAAGGCGCTTTACAACACTATCAGTCATTCACCCATTCATACACTGGTGGGGATGAGCTACGATGTAGCCACAGCTGCCCGGGGCGCACTGATGGAGGCGAGGCTGCTGAGCACAGGCGCCACCGGTCCCTCCGAACACCACCAGCAGACAAGGGGGGTTAAGTGTCTTGCCCAAGGACACAACGACAGCGACAGACTGAGCGGGGCTCGAACCTGCAACTTTTCGATTCCGGGGCGAGCACTTAACTCCTGTGCTTAATCCTTTACCTGTAATCTTTCATACATTTATTTTTAGATTTCTCAGTAGTTTATCTTAGGATGTGTTTATTCCTTTTATATTTTTTTAATAAACGAGGATGTGAGGAGGTAGATGTGTGTGGACTGTGCTTGTGTTCATCCTTCTCTGCTCCTGTGCTCCAGATTTCCTCATGAAGAAGAAATAAAACTACCGGTAAGCAGAAAAAAAAAATTCTTGACTCTCAATGTGTAACTAACCCTAAAATGACATCTTCTTTTGCTTGCATTTCATTTGGCACAACTTGCCTTTATTTATAATCAGTTGATCAACTTCCTGTTTGAATTAAATGCTTTTATTTTGAAGGGTCTATTTCCTGTTCTAACAGTTAACGCAAGCTAGTGTCACCTCGAACTTCAGCCAAAAATCGAGCAAGAAATTGCCTCTTTTTGCCCATCAGCCAAGGCCAACATTAGAAACCTAGGAGTTATTTTTGATCCAGCTTTAAGTTTCGACTCACACGTCAAAACCATCTCCTGCTCTTGTTTCTTTCAACTGAGAAACTTTTCAAAAGTCCGTAAACTGGTTTCTACTGCAGATCTGGAAAAAATAATCCATGCCTTTGTGTCATCACGCTTAGACTACTGTAACGCTCTTTTTACTGGTCTCAGCAAAACCTCCCTCTCACGCCTTCAAGCCATCCAAAATGCAGCAGCCAGACTCCTAACCAAATCCAGCAGACGAGCTCACATCACTCCAGTTTTACAGTCACTCCACTGGCTCCCGGTAGAATATAGAATACAGTTTAAAGTTTTAGTCCTGACCTATAGAGCTCTTAACAACCAGGCTCCAAGCTACCTATCTGAGCTTTTATCCCCACACACCACCTCTCGGAACCTTAGATCCACATCTGAAAACCTCCTGGCTGTTCCTCGAACCAGACTGAAAACCAAAGGGGACAGGGCCTTTCAGACTATTGCACCCAGACTTTGGAACAGTCTACCTTCAAATCTCCGTCTCTCTAACACTGTAGAGGTCTTTAAAAATCATCTAAAAACTCACCTTTTCATCCAGGTGTTCCCTCCCTAAATGTTTCAGAATGATGGCTTTGTTCGGGTTCACACCTTCACTTTGTTTATACTCATTATTTTATTTTCTACGTTTATCACTGCTATTGTTTTTCTGATGTTTTTTATTGGTTAGAGGTATTTGCCCTGATCTTTATCATGTTGTACAGCACTTTGTGATTTATATCTGTGAAAGGCTCTATATAAATAAACTTTTACTTATTTTACTTACTTACTTACTCTGTCCGTGTGCCCCAGGGCCGCTGTAGCATGCTGACACCGACCAACGTTCCCCTCTATCCAGGTCTACGGGCCGGGGGTCTCATTCGTAAAACATTGCGTAGAATCTTTACTAAAACCGTACTTAAGCTCAGCAAAAAAAAGTACTTACACCAAGTAGGTTTTTGACCTATCAAACATGGACTATGCACAGCTTCACGCAATCTACGTTTTATAAATACAAACTACCTATGAATGTGCTCAGGTGTTTCTGAATCACATCCCGCCCTCCAAACACCCACTTTCTGCCACAAATGGTCAATGCAAAGTGCCTTGTGGATCTCATGCACATACGTAAGCCGGCTCATTGCAGCAGTCCACCATTAACCATGGCGACCGCAGATCAAGGAAGTGCAATTTAACCGAAGCAGAAATGGAGGTACTTGTGGGTGCGACGGGAAAATGAAAGGAAGTGCTTTTGCAAAAAAATAAGAGAAAATTCACGGAGTGGCACAGCGTTGCTGAAGCCGTCAATGCTGTGAGTTCTTCAGAGAGATGTGTGGCGGATATAGAAAAAATGGTCCGATCTGAAGGTGGAGGCAAAAAAAAAGGATGTTTTGCCACCGCCAGTATGTCTGCCACTGGCGGAGGCCCTGGCACCTCTGATCTCCCACCGCTCGCCGTTAGGATCTCAGCAGTACTCGGACCGGCAAGCGTGCGTGGCATCGTGCCGGAGAAGGAGTGAGACACTGACCATGCAGAGGAGACGGGTAACGTTTAAGCCTTTTATTAATAAAGATCAAATGTGTCCGTCATTAAAATATAAAACAAAACCAAATCTCGTTTCCCTCAGTGACTCTGGACGAAGCGTCCAACGAGGCATCCCGGGCGGCTTGTTCTGTGTGCGCAGGAAGCGGTTCAAGTGATAATGCTGCTGGATTTCATAAGTGTATCCTTCTCAGCAGCAGCACTGCAGGTGCTCTCCATGTCCAACATGTGCGTAAGCCAACTTAACCTTACCCCCAAATTCCACTACCTCCGCTCCGCTGCGCTGCGCTCCGCTCCGACACGAACGCAGGAGCAAAATCGGTCCCGTTCTAGTCAATCAGAGCAATTCCACTACTGCGGCCGTGCTCCGGCAGTGCGGCGCCGTGCGCCACCCTCTGTTCCGGCGTCCGGCAAAAATAGAATCAATCCTATTTTCGCCGGACGCCGGAACACCTCTGCAGTCAATGGACAGAAATCACAACTGCCCAACAGGAAAAGGAGCAAGCACAACTTCCGTTTTTCACAATACATCGATAAACAAAAGGCGTTTTTTGTTTCATATGCACAGGTTTAACAACTTTTAACAACTATCAATGGCGGCTGAAGTTTAAATGCACAAAAGTAAACCATAAATACAGTTTCCACTATCAAAGTAGTCACACTTTGTTGATCCAAACACTGCTGATCTCTCAACACAAATGATGGGCAGATTAAACAGTTCATGCCGATGCTTCTCCCACACAACGGGTGTTTGGATCTAACTTCCACGTTTATTGCTCGGACTGTATCGCAAGATCTCGAAAATCCCGCGCATGCTTGTTTGCCCACCTCAGGTCTCCGCACCGGAGCGGAGCCGTTGTAGAGCGGGTACCAGTAAAAATTGAGTTCGGAAGCGAAGGCGGGGGCGGACCGGAACGGAGGTAGTGGAATTTGGGGGTCAGTCAACTTAAAGTTGCGCACATTTTCCCGCCAAGTTTTCTTTCATAAATCCCAAAGTTTGCGTGGAAAGTTGCTTACGCAGTTTTCCGACCCCGTTTTGTGCGTAAGCAAGCTTGATAAATGAGGCCCCTGATCTGTTGAACTTGATTTAAAATTAGGGGTAGACCGACCTGTCAGGCCAATATTTAATATTTTTTACATCAACATAACATAACATCAGGCAGGCGCATCCTCGGGCAGCCCGGTGCTGTTGCAGAATACCATTTAAATGTTTTTTACTTTCACTAATAACATCCACATAATACATACTCAAAATTAACTTTAATTAGGTGTTTGACTTGAACGCTGGGCAGTGCCCAAAGTTCAAAAACTAATTCAGCTTCAGAAATTTTGTGCATCAACTGATGTTTAGCATGAAAATAAGGTAGAAAACGTCTCGATATCGGCCGTCGGCTGACTGTGTCTCCTACATTTCAGCATCGGTATCGGCAATAGAAAAACAATATCGGTCAACCCCCTTTCTAAAACACTCTGGTTACAAATAAAATAATAAAAAAAGCATGTTTATTTAAAGTTTCTCTACATTCTAATAACAGAAGATGAATCTACAGTCTGTGTGCTCCACGTTCCTTAAGAAATGAAAAACAAAGAACATTTTAAGGAAAATCTGACTTGTTTCTATATTCAGCGTTTCAAACAGCACCAGCAGGGAAACTGAGCTACAAACAGGATTTAGATTTATCCACACGCTGTTCCTGAGAGGTCCCAATAAATAAATAAATAGATTTAGTGTGACGCTGCAGCACTTGACAGAAGCCCAGAGGAGCCAAATGTACTCAGATGAAATGACATCAGCAGAAACTGGGAAGGATTACTGGCTGTAACACCAGCTGACGGGTCGGAACTAAAGGAAACAGGAAGGACGTTGAGCTTCGGGAATGAAAGGTTTGAGATGGAGGAAACAAGTCTGGAATGTGTCGAAAGCCTCCGGAGTCCCAGTGTGTTCGTTTAGCCACTCCGTTATTCCCTACGCTGGGTGCAGCGGAATAACAAATTTACATCCGAAGGGCGAGTGGTAGTTGATCCCGAGTTCTGAGTAAACCAGCCTGGGAATGCCGATGTCACACAGATAGAGTCTGCTCTCGTCCTCCGCCGCAGCGAGAGGGAGACCTAAAGACAGCGTCCACTTGGCCTCCACGGTCTGAGGACGCTCGCGGACCGGAGGGTCGATGCTGAGGACCGGAGCCCGGTTCCCGTTGGCCCAGTCAGCAGCTGACTGGTACCAGTTCTGATCCCTCAGCTGCGGGTTCTCGTGGCTGTCCAGGCAGTTAATGACCAGATCGACCGGACTCTCTGGAAGATCTGGGACACAAGTGGAGGAAAGACAGGAAACATTTTTTAAGGAACTTCAGGAAAGTGACGTCAAACCTGTTTTTGTTTTGTTCATCAGGACAAACAAACCGCTTACCAGCTCCTAAAAGGATTCAAAACTCAAAAGATTCCAACAGTTAAGAAAAATAAAAAGTGAGTGCTGATCCAACCAAACCTCCTTCAGCAGCAGAAACTCTCTGCTGGATCTTCTGTGGTTCTGGAGGAGTTCTGGTCCTCTCTGAACCTCGATTCTTTTATAAATAATGATTAATGACCCACACCCGTACAGCGCCTTTCAGAGTCACCCCGGTTTCACACTGCAAGCATCAGCGGAACAGCAGCGGAGCGGCTCACTCGCAAACTTCAAAGCGGTCCTTTTCACACCGGGAGAGTCTTGGCCGCGGCACGGCTTCCTCGCTGCGCCTCGCGAGATTCTAAAATCCCTCGAGACTTCCGACACCTTCCTCATCGAGAGATCACAACCCCCGCGAGGAATCACACCGTTGCACATCTCGAAGGAAACTGGTGGTAAACAAAGCCGTTCGGTCACACGTGCTGACGTAAGTTATACATAACATCGCAACGTTGCATTTTATTTTGAAAGTAACCGGGGACTTTACACTGAAACCGTGTGTGGTTTCCTGTCTCGAACTATGTGAACTGCGGAAATTGGCGTGTTCCAGAAGCGGCTCGTGGAAAAATAGAACTCGATCCTATCTTTAGCGGCGTGCCGCGCCACGTCGCGGCTGGTTTGAAACACTCCATAGACTATAACTGGATTCGATGTGAAGCGGTGCCGCTTCGCTGCCGTTCCGTTCCGCTGATGCTTGCCGTGTGAAATCGGGGTCAGAGGACTCCAAAGCACTTCACAGTGTAGAATGATGCTTCCATGCACACACTGGTGGTGATGAGCTACGATGTAGCCACAGCTGCTCTGGGGCGCACTGATAGAGGTGAGGCTGCCGAGCACGGGCGCCACCAATCCCTCCGACCACCACCAGCAGCAAGGCGGGTTAAGTGTCTTGCCCAAGGACACAACAGCAGAGCCAGGATGGAACCTGCAACCCTCTGATTGCTGGACAACTCGCTCTACCTCCCACGCTACTGCTGTTGCTGCTGTGTTTGGGTTGAGGATTGTGCTTTATGACTCGGTTCGGTCCAAGCCTCAGCCGTCAGACAGATGGACCCACATTAGCGCCCAAACCATCAGCCCTCCACCGTCGTGCTGAAGGCTGGGATAAGCAGTTTGGTTGTGCTGCAGTGCATTGTGGGTAATCAGGTCTACACATTTTTTTCTTTTCTCCTTTTAAACACATTTTTAATCATTTCTGAAATCTTTTTATACTTTTTTTGTTTTTGTGAAGCGCCTTGTGATTTTTATCCTGAGAGACACTACATAAGACCCTTCCTCCCTCCCTCCCTCCCTCCCTCCCTTCCTTCCTTCCTTCCTTCCTTCCTTCCTTCCTTCCTTCCTTCCTTCCTTCCTTCCTTCCTTCCTTCCTTCCTTCCTTCCTTCCTTCCTTCCTTCCTTCCTTCCTTCCTTCCTTCCTTCCTTCCTTCCTTCCTTCCTTCCTTCCTTCCTTCCTTCCTTCCTTCCTTCCTTCCTTCCTTCCTTCCTTCCTTCCTTCCTTCCTTCCTTCCTTCCTTCCTTCCTTCCTTCCTTCCTTCCTTCCTTCCTTCCTTCCTTCCTTCCTTCCTTCCTTCCTTCCTTCCTTCCTTCCTTCCTTCCTTCCTTCCTTCCTTCCTTCCTTCCTTCCTTCCTTCCTTCCTTCCTTCCTTCCTTCCTTCCTTCCTTCCTTCCTTCCTTCCTTCCTTCCTTACTTACTTACTTACTTACTTACTTACTTACTTACTTACTTACTTATATCAATCTCACAAGTCTTACTTCATTCAGCGCAGACTTTACTGACCTGAGCTGAGCCGCCGTCTTGTTTTCAGAGGCGGTTCTTTCTTCCAAAAAGGGCCAAACACCTTCAGGTTGCTCATGTTTGACCTTTAACCTCTGCATGAACCTGGGAGGACTGGCAGCTGTCTCAAATTTTTTCAACTAGTGGATAATCACAATGATGACCCCTGTCCCTCCCCTAACTGAGGTCACTGCTGATGTCTTTATTCTCGTGGTTAACACACGCCCGTATGCTCCAGAGCAGAAATGACAAAGACACTCAGAAGAGTTTAAAACTCATCAGCAGCTCCTGGTTCACACCACTGCATTGCTTGTTTTAATCATTTATTTTTAATTGCTCTTGTGTTACATATTTATGCTGTTTTATTTATATAATCACATTTTATTGGATATTTTACTATCCGTATTAGCTCGTTATTTTACACGTCAGGTATTTTAATCCGTCGTGTTTCCTCTGGGGAGCCCTCTGCCTCGGGACCGGTGGTCGGTGGCGGCGGCTGGGGCGCTCCTTGGGTAGTGCCCAGGTAGTGGTGGGGGTTGCCACCCTCCCTCCCAGGGCGCCCTGGACTGGTGTCTTGGCTGCTGCTGTCGAGGCAGATGGCTCCCTTGGTGGCGTGTCTTTCATTACCTGTCCAATCTGAGCTCAGCCTAGTGTTTACTGTGGTCTTTTAATGTATTATGTGGACGAGTGTGTGTGTGTGTGTGTGTGTGTGTGGTGTGTGTGTGTGTGTGTGTGTGTGTGTGCCTGGGAATGGTTTGTGGATTGGGGGTGAAACTGTCACAGTTGTTTTAAGTCTGGGGAAAGGGAGGGCATGTGGGTTATACGGGTCATTTTAATCTGTTAAGCACTTAATGTTGCATCCTATGCATGAAAAGTGCTGTATCAATAAAGTTTGATTTGATTTAAATCCTCTGGAAGCAGCGAGGTGAACCTGGGTTTTTATTGTTGAATAAATAAATGACATGTTGGAGTTTGTTGTGAACGCATGAGGCTGGATTAGAGTCATTTTAGAACCTGTTACACATCTGATACTTGCGGTTTCATGTTCTGGTTTGTAAGGAGACGTGTAAAATAGTTTGACACCACTAGAGGGCAGCATCTGCCAACAACAGAACAGGACTTGAACAGAAACTCCTGACTCAGAGTTTAAATTTGTATCAGTGACTGAAACCGGAGCAGAACCACCTAAAACTCGACAAGTCTCACCTCTGACGTCAGCCACCTGCAGACCACTCGTTCTGCCATAAAGACACACCTCCCTGGTCAACACCTCCTCCATCCTGGCAAAGCTGGGCAGGAGCAAAATGACTTCCACCTCATGGTTGGCCAGGTGTCTGCCACAGCTGATGCCCTGGGCCCCCTGGATGTGCGGCCCACACAGGAGGACCACTGATGGCCTCTGGTGGGCGTTTTTTGGTGTGAGTCTGGATGCATCAGATACACAATAGTCACATCAGAGCTCAAAGACATGCTAAACAGGTAAAGCTGTGTGTGTAAGTGTGTGTGTGGTAATGCACACACACACTAAACAGGAGCCAAGTGGCCGGCGTTTCAGTATCCATGGATGATTTCCGGTGGAATGTCTGGGATGTTTGGCTCACTGTTGATGAACATTTTTCCTCTTCTTGTTTCACAAACCACTAACTTCCCGTTCACTCAGGCTTTTGCATAACAACCAAACCAAGATGGCTGCCCCTTACCTGTTGGGTCCACCGAGCAGCGAGAGAGCCATCTGGCTGGAACAAACGCCGATGGTCTCCAGCCGGCGCTCCGGACTCAGACCCCAGCGCTCGGCAGCCTCTAACAGACGCTTGTGCAGCCTGTAGGGAATGCTGGGAACCACCAGGCCTGAATCTGCAGAGAAAAAACAAAATGGAACCAGAACATTTACATTAAAAGAATTTCCCGCTGTTCTACAGTGCCTTTCTGCTTCCTGAACAGTCTTAGTTTGGAGAATGTACTGGACTGATGAGCTGACAGTGAACATGATGCAGAAGCTGAAGCAGAAAAAAACGCAAAACATTTCCCAGTGGCTGGTTTTAAGCCCCGCCCCCTCAATGAAATGTTTCTGGCCAAATAATAAAAAGAAAAAACTACCTCAGGTTATTTTTCCTGATGTTCTTTTCCACACAGTCCTTACCTTTTATATTCTTGTGAAGTGTTTAGCCATAATTAATAATGAGATGTTTCAAAAACATCACGATGCTCAGGTGAGTGGGCGGGGCTTTCAGCCTCACAGTTCTGACTCTGGTTCCAAAAATACAAGCCGGCAGCACCCATATGTGGGAAACAAATTCCATAAAGAGTGGTCTTAGTGAAAACCTCCCATAATGCACTAATGCTGCTGCTAGCTTCCTGACCGGCACCAGAAAGCGGGAACTTATCACGCCCGTCTAGGACCATCTGCACTGGCTTCCAGTTTCTTTCAGAATCACGTTCAAGATACTTGTTTTTGTTTGTAAGTGTCTGCAGGGCTGTGCTCCAAACTATCTGTCTGACTTACTCACTCGATACAACCATCACATGCACTTAGGTCAACATAGCAAGATTTACTAGTCGTTCCCAGTGGCGGCTCCTCCATGGGGGGGCTGCTAAGGCGCTGCCCCACCCGTCTCACAGGAAGAGGAAGAAGTATCGCAAATTATAAAAACACTTTTAACACTACTGCACTGTCTTGTGATGCATTTCCTGTTCCTTTTTGGCTGCAGCGATCTCGACCATAGACCTAAGCCAAATGGCGCATGTGCGCAGTCCCCCCCCCCCCCCCCAATACAAAGAATAGGAGAGCCTTTGGGTGCAGGGGTACAGCGCCCATGAAGACACGCGCAGGAGACCGGCAGGGCAGAGTCTCAGCTCAGGTCAGGACAGAACCAGATATTCTCCACAGTTCACCGTTCTGTGATGCTGTAGAGCAGCTGAGGACACCTTCTGGAATTCTGTTATTATGAAGAACTGGAAAATATTGGAATGTGGCATCAGAGACTTTTGAACACACTCCATCATTATAAAAATGTGGATTTTTTTACTATAACATAGATTATTTTTACCTTAAACCAGCAAAAGTAAGACGGAGTTAATGCTTTTCACTTCATAAAATTAGCTTTGTTTGATTTTTATGCAGAATTTGCATATTTTGGTTAATATTAAGCACGTTTTTGGAACTATTTAGCTGTATGACGCATAACAATGGTGATTTGGCGTTCCCTGGTGGTGATATGTGGATACTTTTCAGACCTAATTATTAGAATTATGTAGCAGCATGAAGGTTCTCTGATTTGTGCCAAAGGTCACATTTGCCCAGCTGGGTCAAGCTGGGTCAAACAGTACTTTGAATCCACAGATTAAAGCCCAAGGAGCCACGATGTCTGCTCAAGATCATAACACCAGTATCTGCTGTTCCGTCCCAAGAAGGACACTTCAAGCCGCGATGATAATAATTAAATAATAATTAATAAACTTATGATTTTATTACTGTTTAAATAATCATTAATGCATGATCACTTGGTTCAGATATAAAGGTATTTTAATTACATGAAATGGATTATTATGCTTTGGGTATTATAATGATAATTATTATAATGATTAAAGATGTGTTCAGCAAAGAAGCCCTGAAACACTTGCGGCCCCCAGATGACCCCATCTTAGAACCACATGAAGGGGTTGTGCCTGTTCAACTTGGCTTTTGTGTGAATGACTGCTGTCAGCAGGACGTTCCTGAACTTTTCTGACCCAAAAGCCCTTCATCACCCTCCACAGGATTTTGACTTTTGGGCCGAGTGCTCTTTTTCCTGTGATTTCTCCTTCAGGTGTTGACCACCACAGCACGGAAGTGCCTGGGAAAACCAGTACCTCTAAGTTCAGTGATGACCACGAAGCCTCGGTGTTCGCTGCTGCACAACCACTTCTTTCTGTGTTGAGAGACCCACCTGACCCAGGAAAAGCGGGTGCTCGCAGCGATGCTCCGCCCGGAACCCAACCTGTCGCAAGGAGGGTGAGGGGTGGCACTGAGACTTCAGTTACAGCCCAGAACCTGTTTGTGGGAACGTCACCTACGAACAGGGGGGTCAAGGCTGATAACACCACTGACCTTACTACACTACAGCTGGCGCTGATGACCCCTGAACCTCAAGTGGGTGAACCACCTACCAAAGGGGGGGGGGGTCACACGCCACTCTGTATCTTTGCTGGCTAAACCTGGTATTTCTGATCGCATGTGTGCGTCGACCGGGAATCCTGCGATGGGCACATCTGCTCTGGGTTCTCGTAAGCCTGCACCTGCACCTGTCTTTGACCAAAAGGACTGTTGACTTCACTCTTCAGGACAGACTATGTTCCTCTTGCTAGCTACATGTCTGTGTCTGATTCTAAACAAGGCTGTGTTTTCTTTGAACCCACCCCTAACGCAACCTTTCGTGTCTGGGTCCTTTTCAGAGGTCCCACTTCCAAAACCACCAGATCTTTTGATGTTCATCGATCACCTGCTGTTCCAGCTGAATCCTGGTGACCATGTGACTTTTCCTAGTGACTGGGCTCTCAAGAGCCTGAACAATGTTCCTGTTTTTTCTGCTTTCTCTGTTCCACAGACATGGCATAAGTTTGAGAAACCAGCAGGGGGCAGTAGGACTCCTCATGACCTGAGAGCCTCTCCTCATGACCTAAAGTTCGCTCCTATTTCTGATCACGCCAAAGTTGCCTCTTGTACGCTGATTAGCAACATTTTGCAGGTAAAATCAGGTCCTGACCCAACAACTAAACCACCCGCCCCGGTCGAGTTTCAAATCAGCATGAGCTCCACAGGTAACACAGCACCCACTTCCCTATAGGTCCGCAACACCAGATTCAAACCGCGCAAAGACCCGATCAATTTAGATACTGTCTCCACCAAAATAGCAAACCACCAGCCCGATTTGTGCCAAAAGGGGGGTGAACTCCTGCCCGCTAACACTGGCGTCTATGATTTTGGATCATGTTTGTTCTGTCGTGAGCGTATGTGTGCATGGACACGTTTGCAAATCTCACGCAGGCTTTGTGAATTCCGGCTGTGGACTGCTGTGGTTTCAATAATCAAGTGTTTTCAGAACATAACATTTAAATGTGGACTTCTCCACTACCGGATTGGTCGATCCAAATTCAATCAATTCTCTATTGGATCATTTTTAATAGTTTTGTTAACTTTTGAGGTTTATTCAGGTTAGCTGCCTTCAGCCAGTTATCCTGTTACTAACTCTCACATTTTAGGGACTACTAACTCTACTGATTTGCATTTCTATCTGTTTCATAGTGCTTTCCATAGGGTGATTACGTTTGAGCTTTAGGGATTAACTTGGTTAATTTCCCGTAAAGGGCTACAAGCCAATTTGCCCTTCATTCTTATAAAGCCTTTAATCGGTGCAGCTGATGATTTTCTCATATCAGTTAGGGTTTGATTTCTTTTATTTGTGTTCTATGCATCACTTTTTACATGACATGTAGACAGGGTGCAGCACATTTCTTCTGTAGATAATTCACAAAATGCTGTCACATAGTACATGAGGTACTCACAGGTAGGGCTGCTCGATTATGGCAAAAATAATAATCACGATTATGGTGACTGAAACTAAGATCACGATTATTTAGGACGATTTTTCAATTTATGTTGATTTTATTTGTTTTTAATTCAGTCATAAAATTGCTCAGAGCACAATCAGGACAAAAATAAGAAACAAGATGATCACTAAAATAACTCCTGATTCCCAGTATAATAAGACCAATATACTTACAGCTCATAGTCTATGACCCAAGGGCTATAGACCTTGGTTTAACTCATTTAAGTCTAACCAGTACAGACCCAACTACCAATATCTTGCAAATACTGACAGCAAGAATTATACAGTGGCATTTATAGCAAATAAATGCAAATAAATTGATGTTCACAAAATGTTGCGTAACATTTGAGTCGTGTCAAGGTGCTGTAGGAGAGTGCACTAGCACCGTGTCCTCAGAGAGATTAGTTATTATTTATCAGCGTGAGGAACTTATTTCTACCTTATTTATAAACTATTTATTTACAAGTCCATCAGTTAATGTAATAATTGTCCCAACCACAGCTGCACCCCCACCCCCCAACCCGGTCTCAGCAATCGGGGCAAGCTGCACGTGTGTTTAGCGCGCCGCACACGCACATTTAGCGGCTCAGGAGTCCGCAGGTGCGGTGTGTGTCACTCACTCTGGTTAATCCAACAAGGAGCCGGCTCTGAGAGCTGTTTCTTTAGCGACTGACACATCACTACATCATTCCCTTTCCTAATGTCCTGAAGAACGGTCCGGAGCGCAGGCGGAGTGTTTAGCTAACCTGCAGGAAACGTCAACGACAGTTATCCAGAAAGTAGCTAAGGGCTACCAGAGATGTTTCTGAGGTGTTCACTAGGTACTTTTAAGTTAAAAAGTCAAGAAGGGGGTCTGAAAAGCTGTTGGAAATAGCGTCAAAGTCACTAAGTTGGCAACACTGTGGGAGGAGCGCTTCATTTGCAACTCAGGGCAGCGCAAGCGGGAGGAGCAAATAATCGGCTTGTTTTGTTTTTTATAATCGTTCAAAACTCAGATCGTAATCGTGATTAAAATTAGATTAATTGAGCAGCCCTAGTCTGAGGGACAGGTTTATGATTATTTTCTTTGATTTGCATCAAACGCAATCTTCGTGTGTATGCCTCACTTGCTGCTCTGCTCTTCTCATCATAACGCCAGTATCTGCTGTTCCGTCCCAAGAAGGACACTTCAAGCCACGATGATAATAATTAAATAATAATTAATAAACTTATGATTTTATTACTGTTAGAGCTAAAACCAGAGTGAACGTCGGCCCGGCTTCCACTAGT